TACAGCTCTATCTCAGTCTATGGACATGCAAGGTGCCTTTGATGACGAGTCAGGCAAGAATGAGGAAAGTCATGCACCCTCTCGCTATAAAATCTTGTTTTTATCTTGCCTTAAAGATTTTAATAATCTGAAGAGTAAGTGTGGTGCCATTTCTGTTTTTATATGATACATAATGATTATAGACACATTTTTAGCGTGTATTGATCAATACATGTGGTGTATCATTTATAAGTAAAATGAAGCAAGATAAAACACCGACTTGAAGCTTAGATACAATGTAATAATGTCTTTTTATTAAGGACGTTATGGCGCTTTTCTTCAGCAAACTGTAGACTTAATTGCCCTAGTTCATTATGACGTCACATCAAAACATTCTATTGTTTGAACGCTAAGGATTATGGTGGCCAGAAGGGATCAGAGTGACTGCATATCAAATAAAATGTACATGAGCAATCATTTATATATGACATATATCAAAACACGATTCATTGAAGTTCTACTTTAGTCGACAATATAAATGGGTCCAACTTTCCGCTGTTTTTGAGCATCGTTTTCCGATGTAAACATACTGTGACGTCATAATGAAATAGGACAATTATGATGTTTTATCTGCAGGATTGGATGCTTTCAAGCATGTTGCTGATGCCAATACATTAAAGACTTTGGGTGCATCAAGACCTCTACTACAGGTATCGTCAACTAACGTTTACTGCATAGTTAATAGAGAGGACAGTCCTCTCTATTAACTATGGTTTACTGGCAGCTGCTGATATTATTATTTGTAACAACTCATCACAGAAACCCGAATAAATCACAAAAAATGTCGATATCTATAGATAATAGCATGTTTTGTAGTGGTATTTGTGATAAATACCACGCGTGATATTTCTAAATTGTCAAACAAAAGTTTTACTGTTCTTATAATGATTTCTGACTGTGTCTTTATGTGTAGAATACTATTACTGCATATCAGTTAATGCAAGACCTAAAGAACCTGATGCACAGCCTGCCTCTGTATTCAGATCAGTTTCTAGACATGATTTGTAAGACACTAGTGAATTATAAAGAAAACTGTCACTTGGCTTATAAAGGTGAGGATTGACATTAATTGGCTTGTGATGTACTTTCCTTCTTTTTTTCGTATTTTTTTCTTATATTGTTAAAATATTGTGCTTCGAATTGGCTTTCCCTTTTCATATCTTTTTCCCCTTTCCTCTACTCTTCTTCTTTCCTCTCTAATTTCGTTTTCTTGTTTTATTCTTTTGTCTTTGGCTCCTCCATTCTTTCTCTCCTTCTTACTGTCTTCTTCCTGCTCCCTCCTTATTTGTTTGCTATTCTGCATATTCTACCTACTCAGCTCCATTGACTTATTAGAGACCTTAAGATTGTCCGTGTACGGAAACTCGTACACGTGAATACGGGTGAAATACATCTTATACCAGAGAACCGAGTAGGTTACCAGGTGAACAAATGAYGACATTATTACATTTAAAGAAGCCCATTTAAGAAGCCATGGAAGTCTATTATATAAACTGCAAAATTAAATATGCTCGCCTACCCGTACTCGTAGACCGAAACAATGTATCTTGAGGTCTCTGCAAGTTTCCTCCCGCCCTCACTTTCTTCCTTCTTTGTCATTTTTTTCATTTCAATGGAGTTCTTTATTTTTGTGTTCAGATTTGCTGAGATATACAGGAGACCGAGATAAGCCAACAAGGATCATCAGTGGAACGTGGGCTAAGGATGAAGATATCAGTAGGCTGTTAAGGTACTTACAATATTAGTTACTACGATTAGGCCTACTCCAGGCCAGAAAGTCACCTTAGTCGCCGCAACTTAAAGCGACTTAAGAAATAATGAGGGTAAATTGGTCGGGGCAATGTGGCAGCTAAAGGCGACTTAAGGAAATTTGGATGATAATTATGTGGGGTCCCTTGGCGACTTAGGGTCTTAAGGCAACTTTCTGTCACAGAGTAGGCCTATGGTTATGTTTTTATCAAATGATATTACAGTATAATTTCGCGTTGTTTGTGATTCAGATCACTTCCAAACTGGACCAATCTTCAGCAACAACACCACAGACAAAGAAAGGTTTGTTGGCAGAATGATAGCCTTAATACACATAACTTCTACAAGCAATTTTTAACGTCATAAGGGCTTGGAATAATTTTTCTTAGCAACTTTAGGAGAATTGCACATTGTAGTAAAAAATGGGCCTTTCGCTTGAAACGCGGGTCACAAGGTGCCAAATCTGTCTTACTGGATGGCAAAAGAATGTAAACAACCTCAAAAACAAAAGAAACGCAAACCGTAAAGCTCGAATTTTTCTTTGTTTTGAACATCCCGAGTGGGTATTTTGGCATCCATGGCGGATATAGTTTTTTAGTACCATGTAACCGTTTCATACACTAAAAGGCCTATTATGTATTTGCTTAGCAAGTGCGCGTATCAAGCATTGCGGGTAAACTGGAGATACAGCAGGATGGCACACTAGTGTGCAATTGCAGTATTGAAAGCTGCTGCAGTGTGTTGCTAAAAGTAGATTTATTGCCGATTGTTATGTAATTCAGGTCATGTTTTTCAATTGTTTTGGGTCAAATGAGCAAATGTCTATTTTGATCTTTAATGTCAAATTTGTCAGGAAGAAGAAGAAGACTTAGAGGCCATCAAAATCAGAAATGCAAGGGTACGTACTTTATTAAAATATAACATTGTTTTATTTTCTGTACAACTTACAGTAGCTTATCTATTTTGATTCAAACTAACTCCCTTTGTCCTTTAGGAGTCTGAATTACTGACCAGTAATCTTGGAGAGCACATGTTGTCCAAGCACGAGGTTCTTCTTGATGTTAGCGACTTGAAAACCTTAGCAAATCTACAAGAAAGCATGGTAACATGAAATCATTGGCTTTGCCGTTGCTATGGTTATTTTCGTATCTAGAGCCACGTTTCAAACAGGGCTGAATGAGCGTGGTTTAAATTTTGACTCCATCGCATATCCCTTTGAAGTCAAAGTATTTTAAAATGGATATTGGCATTATCTACAGTGACGTCATTTTAGTCTATAAATAGACGGGTTTGTGCAGCTGCTGACACAACATAAGGGTTCTTGGTAGCTAAATTAGGCTTCTACAGTAGTAATGCGCTCTTGCTAGCTTTCTTCGCAGCCTATTCCAGTGGAAAAGGACTTTTTGTCTTTTTGATTTTCCTATTTTGATGATCCTGACTGAGAAGAAAGCGCCAAGAGACTTGTGCTAGTACGTTCACACGGGGCTGGTCAAGTTTGAGAACATCCCGGTTTTAGGACAGTTCCCATTGTTCACACGGAGCCGTCCACATTTCGGTACGGATTGAAACAGTGTTCACACGGAACCGTCCACATTTCGGTACGGATTGAAACAGTGTTCACACGGTTCATGCTTCGAAGTGACCCGTCGTCAAAGTGGAACGGCTTTTTAGCCGGCCCCAAACCTGACCACTTTGCCAGCCTCAGATGAGGCCAATTCCAGTGTGAACGCGCGCCTAAACTAGAACGGTTCCGAACGGAAACGGCCCCGTGTGAACGGGTCCGTACGAACAACGCATTCCTTACTCTGGCAGTTTTTTTTTAAACTTTAAAGTTAAAACACAGCAATCTCAGAGTATAACTAGCTGCGAAGGAGACAGGGAATGATTTCATGTTTTAGAGTTGTTCAAGCATGATTATTTTTATTTCTTCAGGAATGGTTAGCAAACCATATTCGTGTGTTTAGTACTGGATTGTCAGCCCAGTCCACCTCAATCAGTGTTGGAACAAGTGACATACAGGAGAGAATCAAAGCTGTAAGTGACGTAAGAATACTAATAAGGCTGGCATAAGAAATAATAATATTAATAAACRACATTAAACGACGCTTTCCCTGAAACGGCGCTCTGCACCAACTAAACTCAACCTTTTTATTTATTTTTATTGACAAACTGATAGTCAAAAATAAGAAAAGTCAYTGTAATCATATAAATGTGGCATATAAAGGCCAGTTTACACGATTTTTGCAGCGCGATAATTATCACTACTTTGCTATCGCGCAACTCAAATCGTACGTGTAAACAGCCCTTCGCTTGTTGCGACGATGGAAAATCGCCGCGAAGTTGCAGCCAATTTTCAAGCATGTTCGAAACTCAGGCGATGGTCACGAGAAGATCGCCGCGAAAATCACTCTACAAAAATCTCAAGTGTAAACGGGCCTAAAGAGTTTGTTCTTAAGAGTTTTAGGTGAATTTAGATGAGAGCTGCTCAACCCCCTACCCTAGAGTCACTTCAACAGTTGTATGCAGTCTTAATTGTTCAAAAAGAGACACGATGAAAACGAAGTTTTTAACTTTCTAAGCATAAAACATGAAATTTTGAGCATATTCTAATTAAATCGAATAAATCTAATATAACTTATCAATGTGCAGTAAATATGTAATTGATTTTAAATTCCTTAAATTTTAAACATAAAATACAGTTAAATCCGAACCAAAAAGAGGTTTACTGCGGCAATGGCTTTATATTCATGCAGGGTAAAAACTGGGTAAGTCAAATTAAAATCAATTAATTGATWTATTAAACTTATTAAACAGTGATGTGATTTACAGCAACTATACATTATTTTATTTATACTTTACATTGTTATACGTTATTTTTAGTAAACAATTCYCAGTGCTTTAGTTAATCCTCTCTCCCATTCCTCCCTCAMCTTTCCCTCCAGACTGCATGCCTGAGTCTGAGCAAATCGCCAAACTGGCCATTAAGAACTAAAGCACCCTCCTCTACACGAGCATCTAAGCATGGAATTGTCCTAGTTCATTATGACGTCACATCAAAACATTCTRTTGTTTTAACGCTAAGGATTATGGTCGYCAGAAGGGATCAGAGTGACTGCATATCAAATAAAATGTACAYGAACAATCATTTTATACATGATACATATCAAAACACGATTCATTGAAATTCTACTTTAAGTTTTTTTTTTAAGATTTTTATTTTTTTTTTATTTTTTTTTGGTTTAAGATTTCCACTGTAATTGAGCATCGCTTTTAGATGTAAACATACTGTGACGTCATAATGAAATAGGCCAATTGACACACGGAAGTCTGTGTAATTACCATTTTTACTAAATTAATAATAGAAAATTAGCTGTTAGCCTAAAAAAATAAAATGACTATATTATGAAAATGTAAAATAATGTGGAATTGGCGCTGATCATTAATTCTGTTGACATGTATCCTGACCGATCCTGACCTAGTGTTGTTGTACTTTATATTRTGTTTTACCGTACTTCTAATTTGCTTTATTCGAATTGTTTTTCCAGCGAGAAATCCCACCAGTAACAGACGATACGCTAAAGTATGCATAAATTGTATTGAATTTTAGGGCGCTTTCCATTTGTCAGAACTGGCTGGCCAGGCCCAGAGAAAATGTCATTATAAATCATTCCTATTTAGTCGGGAAATTCAAATTTTCAAATTCTATCCATTTTTCTATAGAAAACCTCGAAATGACTGAAAAATATTGACAAAAAGCATAATATTCCTCTAAATAGAGCGGACTGGCCGGCCAGTTCTACCTAAATGGAAAGCACCCTTAGAAATCTACTAGCCAATAGGAGAAGGCGTTATAAGGATCAAATACTCTATACATCATATCATCAAATATCCACGGCTTTATTTCAAGTACATCGTGTCATAATAATACCGTTGTATCTCGTTTTGTCATCAGATCATTACAAAGTCTGTCCCAAGACTTCCAGAGACTTTCTGAGACGTGTCTTCTTGTTCTTCACCTTGAAATACGATGTCATTGCTTCTTTTACTTGATGCCAGCCATAAGACAGGTAGSGCTGCGATAGTAAGATATTTCKRTATAGATAAAGAGGGCGTGTTTCGCAT